GATTTGAGATAAAGTGCTCTTTCATCTAAACTATGAAAATTATGGGGTCAGTTTGACTTCATCTTTTTCAAAACTAAATTTTTTTTTTTAATGTCCTTCCGAAGCGGGCAACGGGATTTCAATTCCGATGACCGACAGCTTCTTACGGCAAACCCCACACCAAAAATAGTGCCGACACTCATGTCGCCTCAGTCTCATAGCTTTGGGAGGCAATTCTACGGTTGTGTCAATAGTGTTTCAGCTCGTTGCGGCTTCTTCCGGTGGGCTGACAGTCCCACATATTACACTGCCAGCAATCATGGGAATCTGATATTTTCCCAGGTTGATAGTAAAGCAGAGGACAGGCATAGCCAGAGTTTGAAATTAAATATTTTAATATTTCTCATTGTAGTTGTACTTGTCTTTATCTTTTTTTATTTCTTAGTGTGAGAACTATATTGTGAGAACTATATGTCATCTTTTGGAACTGATTTGTGATGATTGTATGTTTCTGCATTATATGTTTTTGTACTACCAATAAGCTATTTTGAATAAGCTGCCCCAAACAGTTTTACCAGACAGGGGCAGGAATGTCATTTATACCATCATAACCACCAATAAGTTATTCTGAATAAGCTGTCCTAAACAGCAAGTCAGATTATTCAGATTATCAGAATAATCTGCTGATACAGATTATTAAATTATCAGAATAATTTGTTTATCAGCAGATTATAAATAATCAATAGCTGCCCCAAACAAACCCTTAATTTTTGAAACACCTTGAAGAATGAGCACAACATTATGTCATTCACTCTTCCATTAATTGAAAAACTAGAAATGTAGAATTGATGGAGGCAAAATAGTAAAATCAGCAGAAAAAAAGAACGAGATTAGAAGAGAGAAAACTTGATATGTGGAAAAGAAGGAAACGAAGCAAAAAAATCCAAACAAGAAAACCAGTAATCCACTCATTTTTTAGAGTATTTTGGACCTTTCGCACTCTGAAACAGTGGAATGGAGGTCCTATGTCACGATCCCAAAATGGCGATAAATGCCTTTCCGATAGAATCATTTACGGAGAAGTAGATCGGCCAAACAAACAGCGGGCATTCTCATAGCTTTCTCTGAGACGGAAAGGAGGCGAGCCTTTCAAACGAGCCCTTAATCAAAACTTTACCCTAGATACTTAAAATATAGCATCGGCTAAGGTGATCAATGATTAATAATAAAGTGTCCAATTCATAAGCTAAAAAAGTCACAACAAACTCAATGGTCAAAAGTTCAGGTCGCAGCAACCAGCTTACTGCCTATTATTGTAGAATACAGATCGTTAACTTGAAGCTGCACTGAAATATCCCAAGGCATCCTAGCTCCTTTGATTGGCTCAACGAACTTTGACTAATGAAAATAGGGGATCTTCGCAGGATTTGCCCTTCATCCCCACCACAGTTGTCCATACCAAAAACATAAGACATAAATATTAAAAAGTTCGTCATCATAGAGCAAGTATACTGAAAACTAAAGTCAAGTGATCCCCTTAATCAAAGGGTCTCGCCCAAAAAAAAGGTAATTAACCACACAAGCCCCACAGGAAGTGTTGGTTTCCAAATCTACTCCAAAACCAATAGCAAAAGATATTTGTCCATTAAATCAATGCGCCTTTAGAAAATGAATCTTATCCACAGCAAGATTACAATGAGTTTCACTTCAAGAGCTAACAAGAAACATAAATCATATTTTTAAAAATGCAATAAAAGTAAAACAGAAACTAGAATGGTAAAATTTATTAAAGAAGACCGGATTTAGAAACTAGAATGGTAAAATTTATTAAAGAAGACCGGATTTGATAACTAACCGTTTGCTCAATATTATAGGTTGGAATGACGACACCACCCCAAGATTCAAATCGATAAACATCCAAATAGTTTCTCTACAATATAAAGGTAAAGAGATAAAATGAAAGTAATAATTAAACATATTGGCAATAGTACTACAAAAAAATAATTTTTGCTAATTACCCAGTCTAGATTAAATTCAAAACGATAAAGTTCATAGAAAGTGTAATTCAAAGAAAGGTCAAAAGTTAAGTAATAGATTAAAAAAGAAAGTTACAACTATGCACATTGGAATTTTTTTGAACTTTATAATGAGCAAAATGAAGCACATGGACCTTCATGGTATGCTAATCATGATATGAGACAGCTTTCTGATCATATTTGTACTTGGGAACATGATAGGCATGCTAGAGAAAAAGCAGGAAAATGCTGTCCCACATAAATTATTCTTTAACAGAGTATGACTTTGTACCAAAATCAACAAATTATATCCAATATTTCTATTTTTAATTTGAAAAAAACTGGTCATATCAACATGCAAAAGAGCATAGTATTAGAAGGTTTGCAGTAGATATATCAATTTCATATTAAAAATTTCCAAAATGCCAAGGGAACTGCTATTCTCATACAAACAGAGGACATGCCATCAACATCTGTAAAGGAAATCTGAAGAATCAAATCATTGATGAGCAATCCAGCCATGAAAATAAAAATAGACACCGTTCAAACTAAGTTGAATAATAAAATTTAGCATTCCAATATTAAATAAAAAAACATTTACATACATGCCACCCAATTCCTATGTATTTACGTATCCAAACCCTAAACTTTACTTTGTACATATCTAACACCCAAATCTTTCATATCACATCAAAAATACCACCATTGTAAAATTAAAAAAGTGAAATACACATTTTCATGCAAACATAAAAATTGAATTTCACATGTTAGGTATATATATAAATACATAGGTATTGAGTGGTACGTATGTAAATCTTCCTAAGAAAGTAGCAAACAGTGTGAAAGATTATCTTCGACCATGAACATAATTTGAAAGCATCAAGAGCTCCTATTAGAGTAGAATGAAGTGTAAGAAGAATGTTACTCACTGCTATTATCGCAAGCCCAGTAGCAGAGAACCGTTCACCAGCAATGTCAATCTCAACCGTAGTTCCAGCACCAACAGCTGGTTGAGATACACAGGCAAGGAAATGGCGCACAACAAATTCATACAACCTCTAGAAGAGGAAGACAAAGACCAATTAACAGACTACAATCAAAAAAAAAATGAAAAGCATAGAAAAAAAATTTCACTGCACAGGAACTGAAAAAATAATAATAATAACAAAACACCATCAAATGTTTTACTGCTACCGCTCACAACTGGTGAGGAAGACAAGGACAACTGGTGAGGAAGACAAGGACAGGACACACACACACACACAGAAATCACCAACTTCTGCCTGAATATGACTTCTTAGGAAGTTACAAACCTTATGGTCTTCAGTCCACCCTGGTTCACCAACAGAGAACTTTGTTGGATGAATAGGAGGATGTGCTTTATCATCATGCCCGCCATTACTAGGATTTCTCCAAAGCCTCACCTCAGGGTCCAAAAGCTGTTGAGCATATGAACCCCAAGTTGGATGTGCAACTTGCTCGTGTACAATAGCCTGAGAATCAAATTGCAATCAACATTGTTCCGAAACCAAATGTTGTTGAAAAGTCATAGTTATCCTTCATATTTTCCAAGGTATTTAGAAAGACGTTGACTTTTAGAGTCAAATATTCTTAGGTTCAAAAAGGAGAACTACATTTGCTCTCAGCAGTGGGTTAAAATAAGAAAATGAAAACATAAAATCTGTATAATAAGAACAAGCATCAAAATAATAGCCAGCGTGACAATATTCGAATGAGTACACGTAAATGGCAAAGTATACTTTAAAAAAAAGAGTTTCAAGCTTTTAGGACAATATATTTTAAGAAAATCATAAAATAATAAAATGCCCAATAGATTGCTCTAATAAAAAAGTTGAAAACAAATAATAACTACAAGTCTGTAATCATTATGACAAAGACAACATCCATCCCAAACCACTATCAAAAGCATAAAAATACCAAAACAATTTCAAAATATACAAAATGTAAATGTATAGCCAAAATCCCTTGGAGGGGTCAAATGAAGGGCAACTAACAAGTTCGACCAGCCGGCAGCACAACAACCAAAAAAAAAAATGATGAAGATTTCAGACAAATCAGCTAGTAAAGTCCATCAACTAGGACGACCAATTCAGCAAATCAACTCAGCCAATCATCCACAGAAAATCCCACGTCGAGTTATCAACAAAAAGTCAGATCAACTCCGTCAACTCGCACAAAAGTTGAACAGACTAACAAGATATGCGAGCCACATATTCGGCTATATTGATTGGTAATTTATTTCGTTGTGTCTGCAGTTTTTTTTTTTTTTTTGGGTGGCATTGTGTGTAGCAGAACTTGAATCGGCTTAGTCTATAAATAGAAGTGGCCTCTGCAAGTAAATGAGAGAATCAAACTTTCAAAGGGCTTCTTAGAGGAATATTTGGAAATTCGACCAAGAATAGATCCCGAAAGAATCAACAAAAAATTCTCTAAAACCACTTCAACCAATTCTCTATAACCACTCCATTGGCAATAAAAAACTTCAAAAGACTTTCCCTCTTCCTGTTGGTTCTTTTTTCTTCTCCAATTCCTCCCTCCTTAACGCAACTTTTTCCTATATGATACATCCACAAACATTTCAGGATTCAACATTCTTGAAGGTTTTATTCAATATCAAGTACAAAGTACTTTTTGTTACTTGAGTAGCATTACGTGTAGCATACCTCAGCCTAGCTCCATCTATAAATAGAATTGGCCGCCACAAGATAAGGGGGAAGCTTTTCACATAAAAAGAGAACTTTCAAGGGGTTTCTTACAAGATTTTTTTGAAATTTGGGGAAATATTGAACTCTAAAGTTTCCATAAACATCGTAACCATTCAATAGGCAATAATAAAATCCCAAGAGATTTACCCACTTCCACTCAGTTCAATTTTTCTTGTATGGTTACTTTCTCCTTACACAACTTTTACCTAGGTTGTATATCAATAGACATTTCAAGATCAAACAGTAACGGTGAAAAAGTATAATACCACAAATCAGAGTGGGTGCAACTGCTAAATTAGAACTAATGAATCTAAGGTCCCTAAATAAATAAAAAAACAAAAAATAAGTGAAAAAGAAATGGAAGCATTATTGTGTATCCTTACAACTATCGTGATTAGAGATGTTTGATACAGTCATACAACTATGCCATTCAGTTCTTTTAAAACAAATGAATGGTGATCCCATCGTCTTCCTCCTCCAACTCGCATGCACATCAATTGAAGGAAAACCTTATGTTCTAAGTGTACTAGAAGAAAAACCCAAGGAAAAAAAAAATACGGAAAAGGATGAGTCAAACAATAGAAGTTTTATTGTAATGTCAAAAATACCTTATCTTCCCTGAAAAAAGCATGAGACTTTATATCAGATGAAACAAGTAAATGAGAAGTAATGATTTAACGTTAAAAAAAAGGCAAGAAAAAAAAAATGGACGCTTTATAACATGGCAAGATTAACAACGAAATTAAGTACAAACTTGTAAATCTGTGTTAACAGAGAAGCCATCTGTCTCTGTGCGTGGATAACTGATGTATCCAGCCTGATAAAGCTCCTCAGCTACCTAGTATTTGAAAAAGAAAACATGTAGAAGATAGCCACAGAAGATGAAACAATCAAAAATAAAGAAATACAATAAGATATATTGGTTCTACTTACTATAAATACCAATGTTTTTACCTTCACGTGCAAATGAAGCGAAACGTGTGACGCTCGCTTTGCTAAGGTGGGCTTCGAAGTGTTGATGTTAATTTGCAGGGTTTTTTTTTTACAATTAATAAGTTTTTAATTGGTGTAGTAAATTGATAGAAATTGTTTGAAATTTTAATTTGCAGGTTTACCTTCAATAATTATCTTCAAGTTATGTATTGTGACATATTTTCTTCTATTGTATATTAACTTTTAAGTCATACTTTATATTATATAATTGTTCATGAATGTATTTATAAATTAGCAGTTTTGTATAACCTATTAGCACTTTGGCTAATAGAAGCATTGATAAGCTTTGTGCAATTCGCTTGGAAGAAAAAATAAAGTATTGTGCAATGCACTGCATTGCGCTTTGTGCATTGCGCTTTGAAGAAACCATGGTCCAAAGATTGTGAAAAAACAAGCCTATTTTCTATGCTATTAGTTTGCCAAGTACCTTTATAGAATGAATTTTACCTCTTTTTGCACATCCTTCATCAAAACATGTGCACGAACAATAATTTAGTTAACGATCATTAAAATAAACCCTAATGTTTCTCATACCATTTCCCAACTAACTTTTGATTTCATACATCACTAATTTCAACATAACAGCATCTCAACCTTATAGGCTAGGAAAGAAACAATTAAACAAAAGAGACTATTTTCATGATGGTGTATGAACAGAGCTAATGTCAAATAAATCAAAGTAGAAAACCAAACCACCAAGGCAACAATTACAAACTTCTTACCTTCATGGTATGTTCTGAACTCATCCTAAAATATCTAGATGCTCGTTTCTGGAGCTCAACAGTACTTAAAGGATGAGGAGGATACTTCAACTTTTCCTTATGTTTAACATCAGTGACCTGAAAAAAAAATCCTTCTATCATTTAAGCTCATCAGCAAAACAAATCACAACTTCGAAGCATCAGTATGTCACTGACAGTTGCCATGGGTTCTTCAACACACATCTCATAAACTATAACAGCACATGTGTAGTCAAAGAGGTGTCCTCGCCTGCAAACAAAAAAAAGGGGGAAATTTACATATGTAGCACACAATTGTTCTATATTTACATATCCCGCATATAAAGCTTCATATTTACATACATAGCACTCTGGTGCTGTAAACCTATGCATGAAAAGGTATATTTCACTTCTAAAAAATGGTAATAGTGCTATATTAATGTGATAGTAAAGATTTGAGTGCTATGTGTGAAAATATGAAAGTTTAGGTGTGAAGTATGTAAATACATAAAAAATGAATGCTATGTATGTAGCCGCCTCAAAAAAATTTGAAAGTGATCTTGGGGAGACACAAGTCAAGTTGAAAATGCAACAGATTATCTCATTACATCCAAGAGAAAGTAGCAGTGCCCTCTTCTGAAGTATGAGAACAATTAATGGTCCAGAACTCTTCAGGTTCGTGCGCCTGTATCTCCCAATATCGTTCAACTATGAAGCCCAAAGTAGGAAACTGCGGAGAGAAAAAAAAACTAACATAAGAATGGCTCACAAACCTAATGACACTCGGATTTAGAATATTTAACAAGCTAACATTGTTTCTGTTTACTAAACCTGACAAGGGCCATAACTCAGAACAATACTTCTATCATCCCCAGCAAAATCCAATACAAATGTATCTCTTAGAAGCATTGTCTGAAACCTAGTAAATGATGCACCAATTCGCAAGTCAATTTCCTGCCAAGCGTTCCCATTATTAGCATCTTTACAGGTTTTCAAAATAAGTGAGTAGAATAAAAACTGAAAGTTGACTACAAAAAAGGAACTGAAAAAAGAAAAAAAAAACAAATGGGTTGATATGAAAAGAGAGAAATAAGTCATAAATGCTTCTCAAACAATCACCTGTCTGGCATCCACTGCATCTGCGAACAATTTGTTGGGCCGAACAAGATTCTGGACGGCTGCATGTATCTCCCTGTCATTTTGCAATTCCCATGGGATGTCAATGAAGGAAGTAAATCAATTACAATCAGGATTTAAAAGACTCACTCCTATATGTTAATACCTATCAATCAACGCTGAGAAACGAGCTCTCCATATGTTGAGGTGACTATTTACAGAAGTGCAAACATCAACAACTTCAAATGCAATATTTTCCCCTTCCCTGTCGCAGTCAAGCCACAATACAAGCCACTGGCACCTTCTAGCTTCCTCTTCCAACGTCCTTTTCAAATCCAACTTGTCCTGCACACGATTAACACCACTTCTGTATTCTGAATAGTTCAATGAGTTTTAGGTTCTATTAAAAAGTTTGCACAAGCTCGTTGCTGGTTTGTATGAAATTAACCTATCACTACTGCTACAGAGTTTTCCAGTTGGTCTGCAAGTGTATATCCAAAGCTATAAATCCATTTAAGAAGTACAGAAGTAATATAGAACCTTTTATTATATGCCAAGTTATTGAAAAAAAAAAAACCTTCAAAAACTAAATTAAAGTTTCAAAAATTACACACGGTTACAGTAGCAAATCCATCAGAGAGTCCACAACAAGCAAAAGCAATACCAATAAAAAAAACCAAGCATTCTCACCAAACCCTAAAAGACAGAAAACCGTTTGAGAAAATGTAGCGAAGTTTACTAACCTCAGGAACGTACTTGCGGATAGGCGCATGGTAGAGGTCCGCGGGGTCGCAGGAATG